TCTAGTTTCATCTCTGTTGTACGATAAAATACCTGATTAAAAAAAAAAACAACTTAGGAGAAAAAAATTTATTTGGCTTAAAATACTAGGTTACACTCTATCATAGTCGGGAACACAAAGCAAGAGGAGCTTGAAGCAGATACATTCACAGTCAAGAATAGAAGGAAATGCATGTACGCGTTCTTGCTTGCTTACTTATTTATTCTCAGCTCAATTTCTCCAGTGACAAAATTTAGGGTCCCCCGCCTAGGAAATGGCACCCTACCCATGCTGCGCTCTATCTTCCAATATCAAGTAACTAATTCCCCTACCAGAAAGGGGAACACTTATTTTCCGCTGATGGGAATGCAAACTGGAACAACCACTATGAAAAGCATTGTGGAGGAAAATCCAAACTCAGAAGATGGAAATAGATCTACCACAGGATCCAGCTACACCACTCTTGAGAATATACCCAAAGGACTCTTATGTCAGCATAGAGGATAGAGGGAGTTGCTCCTTCATGCTCATTGCTGCCCTATTTAAAATAACTAGTAAATGGAAAGGGCCTTACATATCCATCAACTGACAAATGGATACTGTACATGTGGCAATTTTGCACAATGGAATATTAAACCTTTGAGAAAAATGAACTTGTGAAACATTAAGCTGTTAAAAATGAAATTAGGAAATTCTTGGATAAAAGGATGAGGCTGGAAACAATGATTCTGAGTGAGATAACCCAATTCCAGAAAAACAAACATCACATATTTTCTCTCCTTTGTAAATACTACCTTTGAGTTAGATTATGTGTGTGTTTTGTCTGGAATACCAACAGAGATTAGGAAATTAATAAGGAGCCATGGGAGGAGGGGAGCTTTCATGGGAGGAGAGATAGACCGCAGTACTGTGGAGGATTAAAAAGGAGTAATGGAGCCAGAAGGGCTAAATTTGGGTGGTGCATGGGAGGACAGTGTAGTATAATTTTTGTTTGGGTCACCAGCTCATAAATAATGATGCAGAGACTTATTAATTATGAAAGCTCAGCTTTATCTAAGGCTTGTCCCACTAGCTCTTATAACTTAGCCCATTTTTTTTTTTCAAATTAATCTACGTCCTACCATGTGGCTTTTATCTCTATCCTCCTATTCTGTGTGTCCAACTCGTTCAGCGTCTGGCGTGCTTTTCTGCCTCTCTTCTTCCCAGAGTCCTCTCTGTGCCTGGAAATCCCACCCATATCTCCTGCCTAGCTATTGGTCATTAATTCTTTATTAAATCAATCAGAAGGTGCCTTGGTAAAGACACATCTTTTTTGTTTGTTTGTTTGTTTGTTTTTTGTTTTTCGAGACAAGGTTTCTCTATGGTTTTGGAGCCTGTCCTGGAACTAGCTCTTGTAGACCAGGCTGGTCTCGAACTCACAGAGATCCGCCTGCCTCTGCCTCCCGAGTGCTGGGATTAAAGGCGTGCGCCACCACTGCCCGGCTCTAAAGACACATCTTTAAAGTGTACAAAAAAATTATTCTACAACAGGACAATATAGAGGAGAGAATATGGGGAGGGAAACTTAACAGTGAAGGCCTTTTGAGAAAGTCCTGTGGAAACCTACTACTATAGGAGCTTTCTAAAATATGTACTGAAGCATAAAATAAAAGAATTTTAAGAGTTGCCCTGCAAGAGGAGGATAATGCCCCAGCTAGAGACCACATGTTAGTAAATAAAATTCCCAGTAACAGAAAAGGGCTACCTCTTTTTGAGTTGTTGGCCAACAGGGTCCCATAGACCCCACTAAGCATTATAGGCTGTTGTCAATATTGTTGTTTACCTTCCAGAACTTAGTGATAGGATTATATTTTTTAAGATTCTACGTACTTCAAAATGAAGATGGTATTGACCTAGAAGCTTTTACAGTGCTGGAAAGTGCTATGTGGACACAGGAGGAAAAATTAATTAAAACAAAACAAAGAAACACAGAAAAAAATTAAAAATAGTTACCAGTTTTGCACAGCTTCAGACCCTGAATGCTATAACAGCAAGTGACATGAGAAGATATGCCTGTTGGTGCAATTGTCATGAGAGCACCCAATCACCTTCTTATGGTACCGTTTCATGGAACCCATGCCTGGCATCATTAATAGGGACAAAAACTTGTGACTAGATAGGTCATGGGATCTAGAGGATGACCTCATTGCACTATTCTGCTAAATGAACATATAGTATTAAAATAACTACTGCTGACTTATTGCTATAGACCAATGCATCTCAACCACCATCAGAGAAGCTTCTCCTTGCAGCAGACAGCAATGACCACAAAGACTCAACTGGCCAATGTACAGAAAATAAGAGATGCTGGGGTGCCCCGCCCTAAATGGAACATACATACCATCACACCCTTCCCACAAGGCTCAGGCATTATTGTGGAAGAGGGGATGAAAAGAGTATAAGAGCCAGAGACCATGGAGAACATCAAAGAAATGGTGTTTCCTAGACACAGCAGGACCGTTTCACTTACGAATTCTTACTAATAGCGGGAGCAGGCCCAAGATCTGTGTGAGCTCAGTCAAATAAAATGCCAGGATAAAGACAGGGGGTGGTATGAAATCCTATCACTAGCTTAGGAACTGTTAGCATTTAGTAGATGTGGGAAGAGAGCGGGTCAATTTTATTTAATGCTGTGACCATGTAGGTGGACTACATTCTAGGGAAGACTTTATTCCATAAAGATGGGCAAATTTAACTGCACTTATTATAGAGAGGGTAGAGGTGGCAGATGCAGGGCAGAGTGAAGAGCATGGAGGAGTTGGTGATGAATGATGAATATGATTAAAGTATGTTGTAGGAAATTAACATAAAATTAACAAAAATATTACTTTAGAAAATGATAATCCCCAAAGACATGGCTAGAGATGAACCCAAAGTAGGGAGTTCTTCCTCTTTGAGGTCCTCTTTCCAGGTGATTCTGAGTTATGTCAAGTTGACAATTAAAGTTAGCTGTCACAACAATCTTGAGCTTCCTGATGCTAATTCCTACTCTTTACCATCTGCTTCACAGGGATACCATGAAATTAGAATAGATAAAACATGCAAAGTGTTTTGCTGGCTGTTTTGATGTCAACTTGAGACAAGATACAGTCATTTTAAAAAGAAGGAATCTCAGTTGAGAAAATGCTCCCACCAGATCGGCCTCTGGAATAACCTGTGGGGCATGGTAGCAGAGTTTTCCTGATTCATTATTGATGTAGAAAGGCCTAGCCCATTACTGGTGGTGCCACTCCTAGGGAGGTGGTTCTGGATGGTATAAGAAAACAGGCTGAGCAAGCCACAGAGAGCAATCCAGTAGGCAGTCTTCCTCCATGCTCACTGCTGTAGTTCTACCACCATGTGTCTATCCCGAGTTCCTCCTGGCTTTCCCGGATGATGAACTACAAACTGTGAGATTAATTAAGCCCTCCCCTCCCCAAGCTGTTTGTAGTATTTTACCAAGGCAACAGAAACCTCAACTAAGACTTCTACTTAGCACTAAGTGTTTAGTAAGTGTTATTCTTCCTATTTTTCTTGATGTCTTTGGTATCATACGGCCCCTCCATTTAACCCTACCTGGGAAAAGGAGTCTGAGTCCAGCTTATCACTGATTTTATTGATGCTCGTAGAGAATCTTCAATGGATTTAATGACAAAGCTCATTCCTCTTGTCATTAGTGATCAGCTAATGGAAACCAGATATTGCTGTTTTGTTGGGAAATTGTATAGAGGAACACTTGGCCCCACAAACAAGGAAAGAGATGAACACAAGCTATCTAACATGAAACCCAGGCTGATCCCAGGGCTCATGATCCACATGCTGGTTTTGTTTGAAAATCGTGTTGTGCTCTATCCCCAGAATTTGTGTTCTATATCCTACCCATGCTTAAGAGATGCCACAGCGTAAAGCTGAGAATGTAAACTGTGCACCTTTATGAATATGGGTGGGTTTCTGGAATTCATTGGAGCAGTTGTGCTATATTGAGTAAATTCTGGATGCTGAGCATGGTACCTATCCCATGGAAGTATTCAGTAAACGAAAGCTCTTATACTTTCTTTCTAATTTCTTCCTACTATATTCTTTGTCCTTATCCATTGCCATCATTAGCATCTGCACCAGAAGCAAGGGAGGAGCTTTGGGTTCTATGATTCTGCCTTTAACCTACTGTCACTCCCAGGGACAACATTCACTTAGGACCATTTTAGAGATGTGTGGACCAAGTTGTCATAGTAACTTTGAGGGTCTCATAGGATAGGATTCACATCTTGGCACCCTGTTTTCTGGCTGCCCAACTGTGCCAAACCATGCAATGCTCAGAGTCTTAGTTTTGTGATCTTTGAACTGAAGATGCTCTCCTGTCTACTCCATAGATCATGAGGCTTAAATGAGACAATATATGGAATTCACAGTATAGGCCTCACTCTGCAGTGGTCCATCAACTCTTTTCTGAGCCTAGCATCTTCTCAGGCACATGCCTATCTGATGGAGGAAGGTCATTGGTTAAATAAAAAGAAACTGCTTGGCCCTCATTGGTTAGAAGATAGGTGGGAGGAGTAAACAGAACAGAACGTTGGGAGGAAGAGGAAGTGAGCTCAGACCCCACAGCTCTCCTCTTGGGAGCAGATGCCTCAGAGAGACGCCATGCTCCCAGCTCCCAGGCAGACGCACGCAATGAAGCTCCGACCCAGGATGGACATAGGCTAGAATCTTCCCCGTAAGCGCACCTAGGGGCGCTACACAGATGATTAGAAATGGGCTAAATTAATATGTGAGAATTAGCCTAGAAGAGGCTAGATAGAAATGGGCCAAGCAGTGTTTAAAAGAATACAGTTTGTGTGTTGTTATTTTGGGGTATAAGCTAGCCGTGCAGGCGGCCAGGGTGCTGGGGACACAGCCCCGCCGCTCCCGTATTACTACACCTATCCTGGACTGCTGTCCCTGATGGAAAAGTGGTGTGGGAAGCTGCATCCTGTCCTCATGTGTTCTTTGGTTTTCTCTCTTAGGAAAAGCACCTCATTTCCTGCGACTCCAGAACGTTGAGGTGAACGTTGGGCAGAACGCCACATTTCAGTGCATTGCTGGTGGGAAGTGGTCTCAGCATGACAAGCTTTGGCTTCAGGTAAGAGTGAGAGAGAATCTTGTTCACATGTTCCCTGCACTGGAAGAACATATATTCTTCAAAGAGGGGTGGGGTGAGGGAGGGTTATCATTTTAAAAGATTCCTGCTCCTTGGCTATTGCTCTCCACCTGTGCTTTTGTGAAAACTTATCTACGGTTCCACTATATTGACATTTTATAGATGGAGAAGCTGATGACAATGTCAAAATTCCAGGTCTAGAATTTGTGAATATGACCTCCCTGCAACTACCACAAAGTACTCTCTGATAAAGTTTGTTATTAAAGCTACACTTAGAAAGGCTAAGATGAACTGAATATTTTAGGATCTGGGTTTGTGACGTCCTTAACAAAAAGGTACTTGGATATCTTCATGAAACAGTTACTCTTTTCTTAGAAAGGGCTCCTGGGATGATCAGATTGTTCTCTGGCTAAATGAGCCCATCACTGAGTAGAGTCCATCAGGATAGTGCTTTAATCGTGGATCCACTTGTCTTTCCTTTCTGCTCATCAATCCTACTTTCCTAGCTAGATGAGAGACCATCTCGGGGTAGAGTACGAAGCCAGAGGATGGGACCAAGAATGAGAGCACTCATGGTGATGTCACTGTCATGCTCCTGTCACTGTGGACACAAGTACAAAGGTCCGAGGGAGCACAGAAGGTAGAGCAGAGCTAAGCCTCTCCCTGCAGTTCCATGAGGCCATCTTTATCCTCTCTCTCTCTCTCTCTCTCTCTCTCTCTCTCTCTCTCTCCACACACACACACACACACACACACACACACACACACACACACACACTTCTTTTTTGCAATGTCTTGCTATATAACCCAGGCTGGCCCAAAACTTTTTATCTTTCTTACTCAGCCCTTCAAGTGAGCCACCATTCCCAACTTACATTTAATATAAATTTTTTTCAAAGAACTTTACTAAAGATAGTCGAGATGTAATGTTTAAGGCATAAAACTTGACAAATTTAATGTATTTGTGTGTGAATCATTTCATAATCGAGTTAATGAATGTTGGTGTCACCTTCCAAGGTGTCCTTGTCTCTGTTTTTAATCTCTCCCTGCCCCAGTGCGGAATAAAGAACCAACGGTGTCTTCTCAAACTGTGTATTACTTTACGTGTTCTACAATTTTGTATCCACATCAGGTTTGGGGGAATGGGTCAGTGGATGAGGCCGTGCTGTGTGTGAGGACTGGAGTTCAGGTTCCCAGAATGCATGAACATTCTTGTGTGGTAGCATGGTATCTAATCCCAGTGTGCCTGTGGTGAGACAGGAGCATCCCTGAAGGCTTATGAGCCAGCTAGCCTGGTGAATGCACATGGACACAAGAGGCGGACCTGTTAAGAGCAAGGCTCCCAGCAGGTATATAAAGTTGCAGTGAGGCTAGGCAACCACTCTCTTATTAAGGCTGCAGTAATGCAGTAGGACAAAAGGGTATCAAAAGCAGCCAACAGTCAGAGACTGCCCCTGCTCCCACTGTTATTTGCTAAGAAGAATCTGCTACAAACATTAATATGCTATGTGTGTGTGTGTTATGTATGTATATATGTATATGGATGTGTTATTCTTTCATTGCTCTTTGGTAAATGTCTAGTAGTGAAATGACCAGGTCTTCTGTAGATGTGAGTTTACTTTCCAAAGAACCAGGAGCTATTTCCAAACATGGAGTTGCCCAGCAGTCTAGGCAAGGGCCCTTGTCTCCCATCCTCACCAACAGCTGCTGTAGTTGGTCTTTTCAATTCAAGTAGTTGTTTGTTTGTACCTCAGTGTGTCGGAAAGTTTGTCTCCCCAGTGACCAAGGATATTCAACGATTCTTCGTGTGCTCATCGGCCCAGGCAGATTCTATACATTTTAATGGCAGTTTATACTGTTGCCTCTCTTCTTACATTTGAACCTTTTTTGTTTCCTACAGTTGAAAACTCCCTGGGCAACGAAGCCCATCTTAGGCACTGACAATTTCCCCTTGACGCGTCTGTCCTCCTTCTGTGTCACTCCATATGAAGTAGCCCTATTGCTTTTTCCATCATAATTAGAGTTAACGCACATTTTGCTCCGGAGAAGCACTGTCATTTCAATGGCATTGATTCCACTGGGTCATGAGAATGAGGGAAGGGCAATCGCGGTATCTTCAGAAACTTTATTTGGGTATTCCAATTATTGTAAGGTCAGTATTGCTGCAGTTCTGACTTGTGTGTACGAAGCCTCGGGTCTGTAAACAGAAGATATTAACGCAGAGCACAGCAGAAGTGGCGAAGAAAACAGACAGAAACACACATCGTGGAGCTCTTACACATCTTATTCATGTCAGCGTTTTTCAGGTGGCTTCCAATAGGAGACAGAGCCAGACAAGATCGTGCAAACTAAAAGCAAGGCACCACGAGGCAGGAAGAACACAAGAGAGCTACTTCTCAGGCTATGACTGTATTTGCGCATCCCCGCTGCTGGCTCTCGGGTCGCGAGTGGGACGCCCGAGCACCACAGGCACCAGTGGGATAAAGAAAGCTTGTCAGACATACAGTTTACAATGTCTGCGAGATAAACACAAACCAATTGCTCAGGAAAATTCTAACTGTTGTTCACACAGAGGCCAGACAGAAATAGCTCCCGGGGGCCCTCATAAAGCTGAGCCTGTGTGATGTAATGAACAGCGTCCCTCACCACAGTCCTATTGAGGGTACACAAGTGGCTTCTGTGGGTCTGCTTCCCATCATAATAACACTCTGTGTGGAAGCAGGCTTAGGAGGGGGAGGGGAACGGGGGGCACAGCTCGAGCAGGGGTCCTCAGCTTTCTGCTAATCTATCTCTACCCGGGGAGGCTTTAAACTTAACGCAGTGAATGGATAGATACAATAACTACCCCTGCAAGGAAGGCTCCTTGGGTATTGGCTCCCTCCTCTATATTTTAGGGAATATTAGGAAGGAGGGCTTAAATACTAGGCTTCTTGCCAAAGGCCCGTGTTGACTAGTGAAGTTCCAGGCATGTGTGCAACATTATGATTGGAAGCTATTGAACAGGGCAGGCACAGGGAAACAGAAACAACGGGACACACACATGTACACACAAGTATATGCAGTATACAGACAGGTCCTTTGTTTCTGGAAGATAATTAGGCTCAAAACTAAAATCATCAGTGCTAGGTTTTTCTAAAATTAGCTTCATTTATGGCAGTTTTCTAAGGAAATGACCAGAAATGGGGACAAAGATGTACCTGTTACTGTAGTCAATTGAACAGAAAACTAGAAAGAACTGGAATATTCTGCAAGTGGTTAATTAAGTAAATGCTGGGATGAAGTAATTAAGTACCAGATGGTGGACAAATACTTAATGATATTCTCATAGTATGTAATTAAGTGAAAAATGCAAGCTATAAAGCAGTTAATATATTTAATATTTTAAAGAAAAAACATGTGCATACCTAAATATGTATGGTTATATACTCACTTATATAAAGTACATACATCCCTATATATCATGCATATGTATATATATATGCTTATAATACTATAAAGCATACATCAATGTTACTAATTGTGGTAGTAGATCATATAAACTATTTCGTTGAAATATAAATTTCATTGAAATTGAAATAGAAATAATATTTCATTGAAATAGTAAAAGTGAATGCAGAAAATTACAAAAACAAAAATAAATACCTTTAAGAGGGGAGGAAATGGTCACTTTCCCTTAGATATAGGTATTCTGGGGATAGTAGCAAGTGTCTCCTAGGGTTGAGTGGCCAGTTTCAGTGTGAAGGCTAGCTTCCTGGTGAGGACACAGACCAGATTCTCTCAGGCATACTGTTTATCCAGATGGGTGTGTAGAATATTCTGCATGTGTCTTCTTTTCTTATCACAATGCATGGCGGATGGGACTCTACCCTCATCCAACTCCGCAGGGACGTCAGAGCAGGACCACCTGTCAGGACGACCATGGAGCTGGCCTTTGAGGCCTCTCTACAGAGAGTATGCTCCCCTGGGAGTCTGTACAACCAATAACAGTTGCCACCTCAGAAATGAGGCCTTGTGTCCAGATGGTCTGCATGGATCTCAGCAGGGTCTGTGTATGGGTTGAGGCAATCATAGGCACCGGAGAGGGTCTGACAGGGAAAGGGTCTCATTCTGGGAACCCATCACTTTATGTCAGCTGCACCAGGCTGTGAGATAAGAGGCAGTCTGTCAGTCCGCATAGTCTCTTGTCAGTCTGCATAGCAGCAATTCTCCCTGTTAACTTCTTACCTTGATCCCTGGGGAAGCACTGGTAACCAACATGCAGAGAGTGCTGAGTGAGGAATCTCCTCCCCCAAACAGCTCTGAACTTGATGATGTCCTTCTGTGTCGGGCTTCTACATGGTGGTCATAGAAATGACGCTACAAGGATGGGATAGCCAAGAGAGATGTCCTGAGGGCCTACACACAAAACACTTGGAAAACCCATGAAAGATAATGCTCACCGTGATCTTTCAACAACAGCAACAAAAAGCTGACATTAACAGTCCCGATGAGGGGAAGCATGGGCAAGAGGGGCGTAAATGAGGAATTCAGTGTCAAACTGGGATTGAGCAGGAGAGCCAGGATAAGGATGTGTGTTGCATCCTAAAGTCTTGGGTTACTTTCATGTTGCTTGGCCACACCAAATCTAAACATTCTTTGCAGGTGGATCCCTATTAAAAAAATGTAACTTCAAGCTGGGAAAATGGCTCAGTGGGGAAAGTGCTTGCCATGTTAGCTTGAGGACCTGAGTTCAATCTCCAGCACCCATGCACATCTGCAAGCTCCATGCTTGGGAGGCAGAGACAAGACAATCCCTGGGTTTGCTGTCCAGTCACCTTAGCTGATTCAGACAGCTGAAGGCTCAGCAGGAATCTTGTCTCAGTAAGGTGGGGAGTGATTGAGGAAGATATCCAATGTCAGTCTCTGTCCTCCCACCACACACACACACATGTGCGCACACACACATGCACACACCTATATGTGTGAACACAGATGCACATGCA